GATCTCGCCTGCAAGAAGTCTCGAACTCGCCTGCAGATTATTTCCGCCCCTAACTTTGCCTGCATCGAGATGTCGCCTGGAGCTCACGTTCGTCTGCTTCCGTTCAACCTCACCTGAACAGAGGTTTGATCTACACCGATCTTAACAATCTCCTACTTGGAGATCAAACCGCCGTCAACAGGCTATCTCATCAAGCACCTCCTCCTGTGTGGCTCCGCCCTCATCATCTATGCGTGAAGGCCAACTGAAGTTGCGCACAACTCCAGTTTCTGAACGGTCACTGTCTTTGTTAACATGTCTGCTGGATTCTTACTTCCTGGAATCTTTTCCAGTTTCAACACGTCATCTTCCAACATGGATCTGATGAAGTGGTACCGAAGCGCAATATGCTTCGTTCTAAAATGAAATGCGGAATTCTTCGCCAAGTGTATCACACTCTGGCTATCACTGTGCAAAACATTCTTCTCTTGTTTGAATCCCAGCTCTATTAACAAACCCTGAAGCCATATCATCTCTTTACTGGCTTCAGCCACTGCAACATACTCAGCTTCTGTAGTGGACAGAGTGACAATCTTCTGTATTTGTGACATCTAACTAACAGCTGCAGTTCCAACAGTGAATACATAGCCGGTGGTGCTTCTTCGGTGATCGACTTCACCGTCGAAGTCTGCATCTACGTACCCTTACACTTCCACCTTTCCCTTACCAAAGTGCAAACACTTCTGTGTGGTGCCTCATAGATACCTCAGAATCTACTTGGCCGCTTCCCAATGAGCTTTTCCTGGATTCGACATAAACCGGCTGACCACTCCCACTGCATGGCCAATGTCTGGTCTCGTACAGACCATTACGTACATCAAACTTCCGATAGCTAAGGCGTAAGGGACCTTAGCCATACTCTCTTTCTCTTCTTCTGACTGAGGAGACTGATCCTTCGATAGACAAAAATAGCTAGCCAAGGGTGTGCTCATCGGCTTGGCGTCGCCCATGCTGAATCTTTGCAAAACACGGTTGATGTACTCCACCTGAGATAACTGCAAGAGACCTCTCTTCTTATCTCTCGTGATTTGCATTCCAAGGATCTTCTTCGCTGGACCCAAGTCCTTCATGTCAAACTCCTTTGACAGCTGCTGCTTCAAACTCCTGATATCCTCCATATCTGCTCCTGCAACCAACATATTATCAACATATAGCAGTAGGATGATATAACTGGACTAATATCTTTTGAAGAAGCAACAGTGGTCGGCGTTGCACTTCTGGAAACCCTCCTTGTGCATGAAGCCGTCAAACTTCTTATACCACTGCCTTAGGGCTTGTTTCAAGCCATACAAGCTCTTCTTGAGTCTGCACACCAGGTTCTTCTTTTTTTCTTCTGAGAAACCTTCTGGCTGGTGTATGTATATCTCCTCTTCTAGATCTCCGTGAAGAAACGTCGTCTTCACGTCTAACTGATCGAGATGAAGATCTTCAATTGCTACAATACTCATCACTGTCCTGATAGTATTTAGCTTCACCACGGGAGCGAAAATATCGGTGTAGTCAATTCCTTCCTTCTGCTGGAATCCTTTGACAACTAACCGGGCTTTATATCTTCTGGAACCATCCTTCTCCTCTTTCACCCGGTACACCCATTTGTTGTGGAGTGCCTTTTTACCCATGGGCAACTCAGCTAGTTCCCACCTTTGGTTTGAGATGAGAGACTTCATCTCATCTTTCATGGCAAGCTCCCACTTGCTCGCATCTCCACTCTGACAAGCTTCATCAAAGCTTTCAGGCTCCTCACCATCTGTCAGCAACAGATAGTTCATATATCTCCTGTTGGGTACAGGAGGACGTGCGTCGAGCTCCTGCGCACCATCTTGTCCAACAGGTTCTTCTGGCTGAGGACCTTCTGCATTGGGTTCTTCCGAGAGGTTACTCGGGACATCATCTACATCTACAAATATTGACTCGCTCTCTAAGTCATCTGTCTTGTGCATGTCCTTGTACATCACCTTCTCGTTGAATATCACATCTCTGTTGCGGATCACTTTCTTGTTTTCGTTGTCCCAAATACGGTAGCCGAACTCATCTTCACCATAGCCGATGAAAGTGCATTTCTTTGACTTGGGATCAAGCTTATTCCTGCCTTGATCACTAATATGCACGTAAGCTACACAACCGAAAACTTTAAGATGTGAGAGTTTTACCTCCTTTCTGCACCATACCTCCTCTGGTATTCTGTGCTCCAATGGAACCGATGGACCTCGGTTGATCAAGTAAGCTGCTGTGTTGACCGCTTCTGCCCAGAACTGCTTCGGTAGGCCTGACTGCACCCGATTGCTTCTGGCTCTCTCTGTCAACGTTCGGTTCATCCGCTCAGCTACACCATTTTGCTGAGGCGTGCCGGGCACGGTTCTCTCCATTCTGATCCCGTGCTCATAGCAGTACTTCTTGAATCCGGTGTCTTCATACTCACCGCCATTGTCGGTCCTGAGCTTCTTTATTCTCAGACCGGTCTCATTCTCGACCATAGCTTTCCATCTCCTGAAAGCTTCGAATACTTCTGACTTGTGCTTCAGAAAGTAGACCTACACTTTCCGAGAGTGATCATCGATAAAAGTCACGAAGTAGTGTTTTCCACCAATAGACGCGGTGGTTGTTGGTCCCCATACATCTGAGTGAACGAGTTCTAGCTTCTCTTTCCTGGGGGTTCTGCCACTTATCTGAAAGCTGACTCTCTTCTGCTTTTCAAGTATGTATTCTTCACACATATCCATCTCCACTGACTGCAGTCCTGAGAGTTTTCCCTTTGTGTGCATGATTTTCATCTCCTTCTCACTCATATGACCGAGTCTCTGGTGCCACAGCTTTGAAGTCTCATTGCCTGCTGCAACTGAGATCAAACAACGTGCACCTGCTGTCATATACAAGGTACCGGTCTTCTTGCCTCGGGCAATCGTCATTGCGCCCTTTGAGATCTTCCAATAATCTCCATGAAAGGTCATAGTATATCCTTCGCCAGCCAACTGGCCTACGGATATTAAGTTCTTTCTCAGATCGGGAATATGCCTGACATCCTTCAGCTCCCATACTGACCCGTTCAACTTAATTTTCACTACACCTTTGCCCACAATAGCACACGGTTGATCATCACCAAGGTATAAGTATCCAAGATTTCCGGGAGTATACTTCTCGAAGAATTCTTTCTGAGAAGTAGCATGGAACGACGCTCCTGAATCTAACACCCAAGATTCCTCCTTGCTCTCCAAAGAGCATATCAATGCGTCGTCTCCTCCTGAGGTGGAAGTGATATTCACTTCTGCCTTCGCCTCATTCTCCTTCTGAGCACTATTGCACTGATTCTTGTAATGCCCGGTCTTTTCACAATTCCAACACTCGATAGCCTTCGAGCTGTTGCTTGGATTCCTTGACTTGGACCTCCTGTCCTTTGATCTACCCATGTAGTTTGATCTGCCTCGTCCGTTCCCTTTGGTTGAATTTCTACCTCTTGACTTTGTATGCAATACTGAAGAGGTTGTAGCTTCACCCGACTCTCTCCGTCGGATCTCCTCACTGAGAACCAGATCACGAACGTCGTCGAACTTCAACTTGGTGCTTCCCGACGAGCTACTCACAGCTGTGACTGTAGCATTCCAACTCTCTGGTAGGGAAGATAAAAGTATCAACGCCCGAACTTCCTCATCAAACTCAATTTCAACTGAACTCAATTGGGTTGTGACCGTGTTGAGTTCATTGAGGTGTTGTGCTACTGACGCGCCTTCCGCCATTTTCAGATTGAATAACCGCCGCATCAAATGAACTTTGTTCGTGGCTGATGACTTCTCATACATGTTTGAGAGTGCTGCCATAAGACCCGCCATGGTCTTCTTCTTCGCTATGTTGAACGCAACATTGCGAGTCAACGTCAATCTGATAACTCCGAGGGCTTGTCTATCTAGAAGGTTCCACTCATCTGCCTTCATAGAATCTGGCTTCTTCCCCGATAGTGGTTGATACAGATTTTTCTGATACAGATAATCCTCTATCTGCATTTTCCAAAATCCAAAATCTGTTCCATCAAACTTCTCAAGTCTCATTTTTCCTTCCTCTGCGACCATGGCTCCCACTTGAATCTGACTTCTTCTAGATCGTTTCACCCTCTGATACCAGTTGTTGGGAATTTAACGCTGAAACCCCTAAGACAGCAGAAACGTAGAATAGAAAAAGTACACCAAGTTTTAACGAGGTTCGGCAACTGCCTACGTCCTCGGGAGCCACACAGTAAATTTCTTATTAATCTAACAAGAAATTACAATTCAAGAGCGAATCTCAAACTTGAGATTCCTCAAATAAATTTAATCTTTACTATAGCTACAAAAGAACGCTGCTGCGTTTTGAGTCCGCCGCCAGGAGATTTTAGATCGCGAGAGAAGGGGTTGAGCAACCTAGGGTTTCGGGTTTGGGGTTTCCCTTTTATAGGGAAACCCTAGCTGAGCTGTCGATTGACTGTCGACAGCCTGAATCAAGCGCTCAAACTCGCATGTCCACCGATTTCGCCTGCGTCGATCTCGCCTGCAAGAAGTCTCCAACTCGCCTGCAGATTATTTCCGCCCCCAACTTCGCCTGCATCGAGATGTCGCCTGAAGCTCACGTTCGTCTGCTTCCGTTCAACCTCACCTGAACAGAGGTTTGATCTACACCGATCTTAACATCCCTCCCACCCACACAAATCAATTCATAGGGAAATGCTGGTTATGTACAAATATTCTTCTCAAAATGACAGTCTAAAATGCGAAAAGCTAATGCAATACTTCGAGAATGATACGTGCCACTGAAAGTACATACTGCGAGGATTTATCTGCAATTTACCTTAAAAGACAACATAAACTCCTGCTTAGAGCCAAATGAGATGATAATTGGCTCATCACGTACAGTATACAAAGCCAGAAAAGTGATCTATAATGATATAAAGCACGAAGACTGTTCATTAACACAAATAGCTAAAAATCACAGGCATCTTTCACAACCAAGGCCCTAATTTTCACTTGTTAAATTGATCAACAAATGGCTGTGTAGTCATTTTGCAATGATGCAACCAAATTGGAAATAAACAAAAAGAAAAGTGAAAAAATATACCATTTCTCACTTTATTCTCCTGCGGCGCCTAAATAAACAAACAAATTTAGAAGATAAAGGACACTGGAATTAGACAAAACACTGTACATCAACGAGAGAAAAAAATGGAAATTTGTATGGATAAGGTTAGTCCAATTAGTCAATCAAAGCTTGATGACCGACTCCATCTCCCTTGCAAGTAATCATCCAAGGAAGTGTTACTTGATACGAAATCCAGGGTTTGCTCTGTGCTACTGACCGAGGTTGAATCATCTTCAACATCGAGAAGTGCGAGGTTAAGATGGGAACGAAGGTTAGAATCAGGCTGTGCAACTTCATCATCATCATCCAATGTTTCAATCTCTTCCGGTGAACTGACTCTCGACTTTGCCCATTTGACAGTCTCCTCGTCTCCTTTGAGTAGCTTCAGAACCTGCACAAATGCAATGTGTGGTTTCTAGGCGTTATTTATCTCCTAGTTTTGAATTTAAGGGGAACATTATGACCGATGTTATTTGATGGCACAATATAGTGAGTGGCAGGATATTATTTGTCATCACTTACTTGTCAACTTAACACTATTCATGGACGGAACTCGTGAAAATCACACTTTTTAATCCACAAAAGAAGAAAAAAGATACTTTATTGACCGATATTATTTGATGGCACAGTATAGTGAGAGGCAGGATATTATTTGTCATCACTTGTCAACTTAACACAACTCATGGACGGAACACGGGAAAATCACACTTTTTACTCCACAAAAGAAGAAAACAGATACTTCACTCCTTATAGCAAGTCCAAATGATAAAATATCCTTTTTATGTACTGAATAAACGTTTAGAACTTTGAGATGCCTCGAAATTTAGAAATAGATTATAATCCTTGAAGCATAAGGCTGGATGTGGATCTAGAAAGGAAACTGAGCCGATCTATATTCATTTTGCTGAGTCATTCACTGCTATATAAAAGCCTTATTTAGAATGCCATTCTTAGGGTGTGCTTCATAATCTTCTCAAAACTGGGCCCAGTTCTGAGAATAACTAGTTCTTTTTTTATCCAAACCTCCCATAGATCAAAAAAGAGCCAGTTTAGTGAGGGTTTTTTTGGATTAGGTAAAACTGGGCCAGTTTTGGCCTAGTTTTACCCAAACAAAATTCATCTCAATATGGGAGCAGGTTCAAACCTGGCCCCATTTTCGGAGGTTGCCAAACAGGCCCTTACATTTTGGGATACATCAAGGATCAGCATTTAAATTCTCGTCTCCTTGAAGAGCATTACTTGCTTATGGTATTGTATTGGTTTGCTGAAATTGAAGGATGGATAATTTCTGAAGTACAAATGTAAGTCCTTCTACCTTTGTGATGTAGTTATCGAACTTCTTATTGGAAATATATTGTATGAGATTCCTTGACACACTGTTTGCTTATGTATATGATATCCTATTAGTTGATGAAATTAAAGGATGTCTAATTTGTGATGTACGAAGTAGAACTTAAGATTTAAAATCTCAAGAATTAAATCATACTGGATGGTAACAGAACACCTGGAATTTCAGCTCATGAAAGCAAGAGAAGAACAAGGGTAAAGTTCACATGGATGCGATAAAATAACAAGGAGTGATTACTTCCATTATCAAAGATTCATGATCATGATCTGGAGATTAAAGAGGATATTGTATGTAGCAAAGCTAGGTGGTTCAAGCGGAGAAGTGCTTCTAGATTGTTATGTAATCATGAAAGGCCCATGAAGGAAAATATATTAAACAGCTAAAAAACAGCCATACTTATATGTACGAATTTGGGTAACTAAGAAGTAACATATCTCGAAATTGCGAGAGATCATTGATGGGAATATGCTCACAAATAAGAAGAAAATGCATTTAAGAAGCTAAAAGCTTGGACATGCGTAATAAGGTGTGATTATAGCATTGATACTTCTTGTCCAATATGAAGCAAATGAATTACATCTTATCTTTCTCAAGAAAACAATAACATCAAGATCTCAATACAGGAACTGATATGTAGGCAAGTAAAACAAGAATCGTGAAGCCCTAAGGTGAAGGCTAAAGAGGCAACAAGGGAACTGCTTAGAGGCATTATATTACATGGTTTTATGATTACTAAACAAGTGAAAACCAAGTATTTGCCACAACAGTTTTGTAGAAACTAGGATGCCGGGTTATGGAAATGAGCCCCATAGAACAACTCTTACATAGTAGTTTAATAGGAATGCTGGCCATTTGTCCTTTATAACACACACAACCAATCAATTTTTAAGATCATTTCTTGAAATAAATTTGGACGACCTAAATTGAATAGAAAACATGACTATAATATGACAACATAAATGAAATCATACCAGGGACATTTTTGGTCGAGACCGAGCAGCTCTCTTAATGCATAGAGAAGCAGCAAGAATCATCCTCTCCAGCTGATCACTATCATATTCATTTGACAAGAATGGATCAACCAGCTCCTTACTCTTCCCATTATGCAGAATTGGCTTTGCCTGCCATCAAAGACTTGCAATCAATTTAATTCACGTAAACAAGTTTGAAAATTGAAGGTGAGAATGGTACAAGATTAACATATATTCTTTCTCAACATAAAGGATAAGGTCAACATGGTAATAACATAATTTCATAACATACAGGGATATCTATTTTTTGCATAGCAATGTGAGCAAAAAGGGGCATTAAAATGCTGAGATCCAATTTATGGTCAAGACCCATCAAAAAATGCAGGTCAGCATAGAACCAACAATGTATTACTTATAAGAAAATAATATCGCACACTCACCCACAATACTAGGCTCTTCTGGACCTGAGGACCTTCTGTACTAATGGGTTTCCTTCCTGAAAGAAGCTCGAGCAGCACAATACCAAAGGCATAGACATCAATCTTTTCATCAACCCTTCCATACATAAAGTACTCAGGAGCCAAGTACCTGCCATCGTAAGATATAACTTAACATAAAAACCCTTATCTTAAATTAAGTAAAAAGGTTATCCTAATGTTGAAACCGCTTCATTCTTATATCCACATAGTTCAAAATTTGTTTCATTTCCTAAATTCCCATCATAAATAGATATTAATTCAAGGATAACATTTTAATTATAACATTTCATTTATTATTTCGGTAGTATCATATTTCCTAATGACATGTTTCGAGCGAATAGCATAAGACACCATTGTGATAGCATATCTGATACATGACTAGAAGATTTTCACAACCAATAGCATATTTCTAGTGGGATTCTACTATGTTATTGGGTATAAAAGTTCAAGGTATATGTGTATGAAATAAGTAAATTAAGGTACACAACCATTTTGCCCACTTAATTATTATGCCAAGGGTTTTAAATACAAACCCAAAAGTCCCTGCAACATCGCTGCACATGGTGAGAGATTGCGAAGCCGATGCCCACGTAGCAAGACCAAAATCGGACAACTGAAACATACAAGAGAATTATGAGTAAATTAGTTAGACAATATTGGTAATATCTTCAAATTGATTGAGATATTACATCAAACACAACCTGAGGCTCAAAGTCATCGGAGAGGAGGATGTTAGATGACTTCACATCTTTATGGATCACAGGTTGAGTGCTACTGTCACTGTGTAAATAATCTAGTGCTTCTGCTACACCCACTGCAATCTTGTATCTCTCTGTCCAATTGATAACTCTCATGTCTTCTTTATCACCTGTTAAGTATACACATGAGACAAGATCTAAAGAAAGAGGGGCTAAAAATAAGAAGAAAAAGGATCAGATGTCCACAAAATACCATGAAGGTTTTCTTCTAAGCTACCCCTTGGTAATAAGTCATAAACTAATATGAGATGATTGTTTCCAAAACAAAACCCAACTATAGAGACAATGTTCTTATGTCTCAAGGTCGTAAGGATTTCAATTTCCGAGATAAACTCTTTTCTAGCATCTTCGGAGGGCTTCAAGATCTTTACTGCCAATTGTTTGCCATCTGAAAGACATCCATTATAAACCCGGCTACTGCCTCCTTTCCCAATCAATTTCTCTGAAATACATCAATCGACATAAATCCAGCATTTCAATTCAATATCAAAATATAAAAAATTACAGATTAAGTTAGAGGGCACTGAAAGCAGACCGGGTGAAAAGTTGGAAGTGGCATCCACGAGTTCCTTGTAACTGAATAATCGGCAAACTGATGAGTACTTTTCTTGAATCTTCTCTAGCTCTTTTGGAAGCGAACAATCTTTCTCTCCACTAAGATTCAATTTATCAATTGAATTCGATTTTTTTAGCTTAAGTCTCTCTTCACTAAGATTCAATTTATCAATTGAATTGGATTTTTTGAGCTTGAGAGTGGGATGAGCTACCGAAGAAGTAGAATACCTAGCTGGGAGTTGCATTGCCCACTGAATCACTGTCCCTTTGGGTGTCTTGGTCTTATCTCGGGTTAAGACCGATTTTCGAAGGATTGGCCATCCAGTTTTCACCAGAGGCAACTCTTTGCTCTCAATGGGCTTAAGAGAACACGAGGGAGCCTGACATTTCTCAACTTTTTCCTTTGAAGAGTCACAGATTGAACAATTCCGCTCTGATGTTGTTTCGAAATCAGTTTTGCAGTCAATTTTCGGATGATGAGGTGAAGACGACTTGGGAGCACTGGAACCACTCTCCTTGTTCTCTATTAAAAGAATGAAATATTATGTAGAATCGACAAAGGTTAAAGAATCAATTAGGTTTCAAAATGCAAGCAACCAACCTCTTGCTTCTCTCTGGAACACAATCTTGCCGTTGCTCACTGCAAGCACCGAACAACTCCTAGGCAACTTTTTGGCACAATACTTTGCAACCGATATCGGCGAAGGCCTAAATGAGTCCATACCATTACTATCAAAAATTTCCAAAATTGGGTAAAACAAAAAAGAAGGAAGAAAAAAAAAAGCATACTTTACAAAGAAAGAAGACTAACCCAATGGCGTGACTATGCTTAGCGACCCCAAGTATGAGCTGAGACGCAACAAATGCATTTGCTTCTCTCACCAAAACTCGACGCAGCGACGAACCCTTGCACACTTTTAGCTTCAGATCTATCTAAAACATACCAAATACGGATTTAGTTAAAATGGGTGAAAAATAAATGGTAAAAAAAATCAGCACTTTTCTCAGAAAATTGAGGTTTTGCAAGGGAAAGGGACCTGCTTTAAGTTACAAAATCCTTCATAAACTGCCAGCATCGATTCCAAATCTCTATCAATGGACGAGGACAAAGAATTCCCATCAGGGTCTGAGAAAAAAGGGTGATAAAAGATGAGAAATCGAAGAAAGAAGAGATTTTGATGGGTACACTTTGCGCAAAAAAAAAGGAAAAAAACCTGATGCGGGAATTGAAGAAGAAGAAGAAGGGAGAATATGAAGAGCAATGACTTGATCCCCAGGATGAGCAATTTTCACCAAGGCCCAAGTCAGCAGCTCTTTGCTTTGTTGATCCATTCTAACTCCAACAACAATTGCTTTCCCCTCTCTCTCTTCTTGCTCGTTGGGCATCTTCATCTCTCTCTCTCTCTCTCACTCCCTCTCTCCCTCTCTCTCTCTGTTTCAGTTACAGTCGACAGAGAGAGGATTGTGTTTGTGTTGGTCCCAATCGGATCACAAGAAAGAAAAAAAACATGGTGATTGAGGATGATGGGGGGTTTGTTAGCAGTCGAATGAATTTGCTGAGCTAAACAAAGCGAAAGATTGTTTTGTTCCTTTTCTCTCCCCGTTGGCTATCCTGTATTCTCCTCTTTTTTTTTTTAATGTTTTCTTTTCCTTTTTCTCTACAGGGGAATGGGAGACTTTAATGCACTAAATGTTTGTGGGCTTTAATTGCAATTATTTATTGGGACTAAAAAGGTTTAAAAAATTATAGTTGTTTGCTTTCTGAAACAGAAGGAGATTATTTTCCTTTTTTTTTTTTTGGGGGCGGGGGGCGGGGGGGTGGGGTTGACACTGGTCATTTTGCTGATTGGCCCTTTCATTTTTTTAAAGTTATTGTTGCTAACTTATTTAGATTTTGTTAGGTGTTTAACTCAGATTATGCCAACAACTGTTGTCCTTTCGAATTAATGTACAGAGCACATGGAAAAATAATGATCTATGATAAAGGATTTCTATTGGTCACTTCAGTGGATTTTGGTTATTATTGCATTAATCTTCAGATACATATCTTTTTTATGCAATTAATATTATAGACCATAATTATTGGATTTGGATCCTCTCTACTTTGAAAAATAATGAAGAGACCAATACTTTCATTATAAACATTGACTTGTGCAATTAATGGCTGTGATTGTTTCATTGTAAAGTAGGAAATGAGTGAAATTCATATGGACATAGTGAATGCTATATTTAGAATAGATCACAATTATCAATTAAATAATCAATAATTATAATAAAAAGTAAAGATCCGCCTAATACAAAGATTCCCTTCAAAGAAACCTTTAGGGCCTGTTTGGATTCGTAGGGGGTGAAGGGAAGTTAAGGGAAACTGAGTGAAGGGAAGGGAAGGGAATTCCCTTCCCCTTGGTTACACCCCAATTTGGGGGGTAACAATTTTTATACTATTAGGGGGTGAATCAAGGTGAATGGAGGTGAATTAACTTCACCTCCTAAGTGTTCCCAAACAAGGTGAATGGAGGTGAATGGTTCCCCTAACTTCCCTTCACCCTCATTCCCCTCAATCCAAACAAGCCCTTAGGCACAAGTGGTACGATCTTATTATTTGGCTTTACTAGCGTGCACCCTGTGCAAGGCAAGGCCTCCTATTTTTTTAAGCACTGCATTTTGAACTTGCATCCCTTTAATTTTTAATATATTTAATTTAATTATTGTATATTTAAAATTAAAAAATTTGTCTACTCCTCTATGCTTAAAGAAGGATCTAAGTTTTAATGCATTTGATTTAGAAATCATATCCGCTCCTCTATACTTAAAAAAAGATCAATGTTTTAATAGATTTGATTATGATATAGTAAATTACTGTAATATAAATAGTAACTTCAAGTATGGAGGAGCAGATGTGATTTACAGTAGCATATACTGTAGCATAAACAATAATTCTTTAGATTCTCTTTTTAAGTATAGAGGAGTAGATGACATTTTACATTATCTTATTCTTTATTAAGTCCTCACATTGGGATTTACTATCTACAAATCATTAGGGTGGATTACAAATTCTAGCATGAAAAAGTGGGTTTGAGTTTGTGGATTTCATAACCTTTGTTTGATTCAAAATAAATTTTGGGATATTGAATACCCAAATAATAAAAAACTACTATATTATAGCATTTGTGAAATCCCCTCTTTGAGAGAGGATTTAGGCTAGATTTCAAATTCTAAAATTTATAATGCTACAATTTGTGTTTGAAACAAACAAAATACAAATTATAGAATTACATATCTTAAAATATTGATGAAACAAATAACATTTTAGAAATCCCAATCTATGTTAAAAAACCTATGGATTTCAAACTCAGTGGTGAAATCCATATCCTAAAATTATAGGATTTGAAACAAACACCCCCTAAAAGTGAGGACAATAATTATCGTAAAAGCTCTCCTACACAACACTGCCAATATATTCACCTTTTTGGGTTTCACTGCTGGAAAGTTTCCATGGGCCCTGAAGGTTATGTGATGCCACATTTATATTTCTGTGTCAACAAAAACTTTCTTTTTATCTATTTGTTCAATAAAATATTGTATACTTTAAAAAAATAAAGCAAATTAAGTAAGAGAAGTCTTTCTTTTTAGGGAAAATTGTGTCGAGGCCCCAAAAGTAGGGACTCCATGTGACCCGGCTCCTTGTATTTTGGCCCATGCGGATCAGCCCTAAAAGTACCGTTTCATATTTCAAGGTCCCTCCACGTCAGCAGCATACTCAAAAGACCCGAAATTTCCCTTCCTCTTCTTCCCTAGATGCATCGTCCCCAAAAGTCACGTCCCATTAATGCGATCTGATGTAATAAATGGAGGAAAACCTCTGCCCTTTTTTTACTCTATCATGAGCAATAAGTTCTCCATTACTCTTCCCCAGCCAAAAATTCTCTCCATTACTCTCTCTATTACTCCTCTTTATCCTAAAATTCGATTCATTATTCTTACCTTCCCTTCATAATGGCTGAGGAGGACATCATCTGCATTGTCTCTTCGGGTGATAAAGCTGTATTCTTAAAGATTAACTCTTCAATCACCATCTTGGATCTCAAATTTGATGTGTCAGAGGGATTAGATCTTCCATATCATTCATTAACTTTGTCATACAAAGGTGAAACAAATGGAAGCTTCAAATTTCCTATCGAGAATGAAGATGATCTATCATATATGGTGGAGCATTGCCAAAATACTGGTTTAAAAGAGGTTCACCTGCAAGCTTTTAAAGAAACAGAGGATTCTTCAAATATCCAAATAAACGAGCAAGTTCAACAAGACATGTAGTTCTTGTTAGTTCCATGTTAGTTCTATGTTAGCTGTAATCGATTGCATGTCAGTTCTAATCGTTTTTCTTGTTAATTCTAGTTCTAGTTCCATGTTAGGTCAAATATGTTAGTTCTATTCGTTTTCTTGTTAGTTCTAATTGATTTTTTGTTAGTTCTAATCGATTTATTGATGGTTCTAATCGATTTCTTGTTAGTTATAGTTCAAGTTTTATTTTAGATCAAATATGTTAGTTCTAATCGATTTCTTGTGAGTTCTAATCGTTTTCTTCTTAGTTCTAACCCATTTCTTGAGAGTTCTAGTTCTAGTTCAATGTTAGGTCAAATATGTTAGTTTTAATTGATTTTTTGTTAGTTCTAATCGATTTATTGTTAGTTCTAGTTTAGTTCCATGTTAGGTCAAATATGTTAGTTCTAATCGATTTATTGTTAGTTCTAATGGTTTTCTTGTTAGTTCTAATTGATATTTTGTTAGTTCTAATCAATTTATTGTTAGTTCTAGCTCCAGTTCCATGTTAGGTCAAATATGTTAGTTCTAATCAATTTCATGTTAGTTCTAATTGAGTTTTTTTTAGTTCTAATGGATTTCAAGCTAGTTTAGTTCTAACACAAACAATTGTTGTTTTTGCTTTTTTCTTATTGGTGTTATTTGTTGATGTTACTATTTATGTAGTTTATGATTATTTGGATATGTTCTTAATATTTGCAGTGCTTCTAGAAGTTCAAAAAATAAAGACTGTGGTCCATCGTTATCGATGTCTACATGTGTTTCAGATAGGATTCCTAATGACAATCCTTTCAGAGATAATGTTTGATGATTGATGACATGATTAGCAAATCAGAGAGGATTCCTGCTTAGTGGCACACTGTTTTAACCTGTGAGGGACAACGATTTGAAAGTGCGAAAGAATTAAGATTGGCTTTGCTATACTATTCCATGGTAAATAAAAAAAAATCGAATACTTGTTTGGAACCGAAGCATATTCGAGCTTATTTTTGGTTTAAGGAAGACAAAAATTACCGGTGGATGTTATTTGCCTCTCCACTTAAAAATAAAAATAGACTTGAAATCAAAAGGTTCGTGGACAATCACACTTGTGGGCAACATGGTAATAATGCAGGTCAATCTAGGGCCTCTCGACAATTCATTACGGCCTAATTACAACCCACGTTAAAGGTCCGGCCAGATATACGACCTATTGATGTACAAAAGGAGTTTCTAAGTTTGTATGGGCTTAGGGTCGATTATAGTAAGATATGGTGGGGTAAAGAAATAGCACAAGAGCAATTATGTGGTGATGCCTATGAGTCCTATGATCAATTACGATGGTAAAAGATAATATCTACCATATACAAACTAATTTCATTTATGTTACGCTATTTATACTAATTTTGTTAATGTTAATTCTAACACTAAATCTTCAAATTTTTAGGTATGTAGAAAATGTTAAGAAGACAAACCCAGGTAGCTACATTCATGTTGAACATGTGACGCCCCTGGGTTCACACAAGGCTACAGTCCAAGGTGAAACCAAGAATGTCAAACATGTCATGCACCACACCGGGTAATAACATGTTTCACCATCACAATTACTATCTCTCTAGTAGAGTCAATAATAGGTATAGATACAAAAGCAAGTAAATGATAATACAAGAGATAACTGATGAAATGATAGAGATCAAATTAATATTTCATCATCCAACATACAGAAATACAAGATCAATGTCTGAAATAAATAAACTGGAATCTCAACAACTCTCAAGTATAAAGTGTCTGAATAAGAGGAAATAAGACACACAGCCTTTACAACTTCTAGAATAAGTCCCTCAAATGTCTAAACAAAAGTCTACAGTGGAGCTCAAAAGTAAAAAAATATAACTATAATAGACAGCTGAATCACTAAAGTGTATCGCCATCAACCTACGACTCTTCGTGCAACTGGCTCGTTACCTGAAATGGGGAGGGACAACGAGAGTCAAAGCGCTAGCGAGCAATATCACAACCAACCCCAAGGGATAGGGCTCGTTGTATACAGAAAATACAGTTAATACACACACACACACACACACACACACACACACACACACACACACACACACACACACACACACACACACACAAGGTACGTCGAGCGAAATAATCCAAACAAGGAAACCCTCATGTATATACCTTGTAGCTCAAATTGTAAAACCCTAAATACCAAACCCAAAATCTAATACAGGAACAATAATCTACGGAATACTAACCCATCTCAGAACTTAAATACCATGTCATGTCACAACCCACATAAGTATCATGTCCAGCCTATGTA